TGGCCCCCAGCAGACCGGAGGCACCGGAAGCAAAGCGGCAGCGGCGGTGGAGTCCCGCGCCTCTGAGGCTTTGCCACAGCAAAGCCTCAGAGGCGCGGGACACCTCCGCCTCCCCGGCTTTGCTCCGGGTGTCCCTGGTCTGCTGGAGACGGTCCCCAGCAGACCAGGGGCACCCGGAGCAGCTTTTCTCGCCCCGGAGGTCGAGGTGGCGGGACCGCTGCGTTCTGGGCTGTCCCGCTGCCTGCGAGGTCTGGGGCGAGAGAGCCCCGTTCGTAAGTGCGGATTCAACATAAGTCGGATCCGCATAACTCGGGGACTGCCTGTACTCATGTACTTCAAGTTAAGCAAACGCAGGTTTGTAGCCTCTAGGCCGAGTAACAGATTTTGTTTATAAAGTCACAGTCCTGAAATAGAGGTATGTGGAAGCGCACCGCCCCATCATGAGCTCCTGGAGGCATTTTGCTTTGATGGCAGGCCAAAGCAGCCCCTGCTTTAAGTTTTCAGAGATTGCAGCAGGTACACACCAGTCCCTTTCAGTGGGCTGCACTCTTGACCCTCAGGGAACATGGACACTGCTGTCAACACTAGACTCAAGCAGTTCTTGGGCAGGCCCAGTCACAGTCTAGCTTGGAGTATTCACAGTTCTTTCAAAAGCACGTGTTAAGTTTATTAATAGCTGACATTCTGACATGAAAAACATTATAAAACAATTTGGTTCATCTTGAGTAATATGAGTTAGGGTTCTTAGTGTTTTAATGATCCTCAAACGAAATTTTATTTTTCACTCTAATTAAACCTATGTACATGGGTAGCTGAAATATGTGTATATAAAATACTGTAAATAGGTTTCTGATACAAAACAGAATCAGGATTCCAATTTTTATTTCTTTAAGGAATTCCTCCTATGAGTGGAACTGGCACTCTTCAGATATATTTGCTTGACATTAATGATAACGCACCCCAAGTGCATCCTCAAGAGGCTACCACCTGTGAAACGCTACAGCCCAATGCAACTAACATCACAGCAACAGACCGTGATATTGATCCAAATGCAGGACCATTTGCCTTCGAACTTCCAGAAACTCCTCCTAGTATTAAGAGGAATTGGACCATCATTCGTATTAGCGGTAAAATTACTTTGCACAACGGAAACTAATTATTTTAAATGAACTACTGCCTGCATTTTGTTTTGTTCCTTTTTGTCTGATGGTGGTTATTATTTCCCTAGCTGCTTGGATTTTTTTAGATTAATGTGAATGAAGTGTTGCCATTAGTGTGAGCTCCCTTGAGAATGAGGGAAAGATTTTAAAAATTAAATTTAAAAGCTAACTTTGTTCACAGTAATAAGCATGTTGCATCGGTACATTTAGTAACAAAAAGTTAATACAGAGTTCAAAAATCTGTACATTTTCTATCATTGTTTAATATCCACATAAGCAGTGCATTTTATTTTTACACTTAAAATATTTTCTCCTACAGGTGATCATGCCCAACTTTCGTTAAGAATCAGATTCCTTGAGGCTGGTATCTATGATGTTCCTATAATAATCACAGATTCTGGAAATCCTCCCAAGTCCAGCACATCTATTCTGAAGGTGAAGGTTTGCCAGTGTGACATAAATGGAGACTGTACCGATGTAGATCGAATTGTTGGTGCAGGACTGGGCACAGGTGCCATCATTGCAATCCTGCTCTGTATCATCATCTTACTCAGTAAGTACATAGGTCTTTGGAAAATTAGTTCTGTAGCTCCTCTCGTAGTATTTCCCAAGAGCAAACCTAGACAAATAACATGAGGGTTTTTTTCCCCAGAAGAGATTTGTGTGTGTGGTAATAGTTTACTCCTCAGCCATCCAAGTGCTGATACATATATTCCAGAGCCAGAAAGGACGATTGTGATCATCTAGTCTGACCTCCTGTAAAACAGACCATACAACTTCCCCAGAGTAATTCCTAGAGCATCACTCTCTCAGATAAGGGTCCTAAAGAATTGCCCATATTCTACTTTTATTGCTTTAATGCAGTGTTTAATGCAGATTTTCTGATGATAATTACTAATACAGTCCTAAGAATCTCTAAGACATAACTGGCCCATGTGTAGACACTTCAGGATTGGGGTTTTCGGAGCTGCCCTATTGTGTTTACCACACTCAGTGTTCGTAAGAGTGCCGAGACTCCTCCTGGGCACAATGAGGGTTACACCTTTCCTCAGTGAGTGGCGAGCAAAGGTGAGGGGCTCTCTGAGGTCCAGTCACTCCTTGGGCTGCTTCAGGGTGTGTGAGAGAGAGCCAAATGATATCTCAAACACAATGGAATTAAGTAAAGTAATGTATGATTTGGGAAGGTGGTACATCACAGTCTCTTCTACAAGGCCTAACAAATAGCTAGTCATGCAAGAGCAGTGTGTGTGTGTTTATCTAAGTGCTGCAGAAAGCTGAAAGTTGAATTCTATTTTGTATCTAGTGCATTTGATGAGGGAAATAATCAAATGCCATCTATATCCACTGTAGTGAAATTAGACACTGTAGCTCTTTTACATGTATGGTTAGCTGACTTCTGATTGCAATGGGAACACAAGAAAGGGATTCACCCGTTAAGATTTTGCCAAGACAGAATATGCAGAATGATGCAGTGGAGTCATAAAGAAGAATAAACTTCCCATGCATGGAAGAGATTTGTGTAATAACAGTTTGTCCAGGAAAAGAAGGCTGTGCACAGAGATGATACATTAAAATTTGTTATTGAAACATTCTTAAAATGTTAGCCATTGATTTAGTGAAGTGCTATAATAAATCCCAAATCAATTACAAATGTTCTTCAGACAGTTATGTGGCAGATGAATGAGATTCATTGCTACCAGAACACTTTGTTAGTTCTAATTTGAAATGTGTACATACTGCACCAGGAATGCAGTCACCCTCTCTCTCCTACAAAAATAACCTTTTTATTTTAAAGGCTTTAGCTTATAAAGTAACAAAATAACTAGTGTTTGAGAATTGTCAAGATTCAAACAAAAAGAAATATAAGCAATCATAAAAATCTGATAACTGTAAAGCCAACTTTCTAGCCACTCTTCTTTTTGCCTCCAAATTAAAGTTTAAACTGACACCTCATTACACAAATTGAACTGTTCAGATGGACCCTGCATCATGCATCCACATTAGGGATGTTAAATTTAGATCTATGGGATTTCCATTGACTATTCAGTTAGTCTATAAGGGCTCCTCCACCTTTGAACTGTAGCAAAAGCCCTGCTGGGCTTTTACTACAGAACAAAAGCAGAAGCCCCGCAGGGACCACAGGACTTCCTTTTGAAATGTACAAGAGCCCCATTAGTGCTATTGTACATTTCAAAGGCTGAGGTGAGGGGAGTCCCTGGCTGGCCCCACACTCCCTGCAGTGCCTCAACCTTTGAAATGTAGAAGAGCCCCAGTGGAAAGCCCCACAGGGAGCAGGGGACCAGCGGGGGACTCCTCTGCTGACCCCACACTCCCTGTGGAGCCTGAGCCGTACAAGAGTGTACAAGAGCCCTATCAGGATTCTGCTTTCCGCTGAGGCTCATGTACATTTCAAGAGCAGAATTGTAGCAGAAGCAGCACAAGTGGAGACTGCTTTAGTCTCCACTTGCGCCGTTTCTGCTGCACCTCTACTTCCCCTGTCCCCCATAGAGACGGTGCTGGGGGGAACCAGCTTTTAAGGCAGCAAGGGAGGGGAGCGACTAGTTGCATTATAAGCTTCTGTTTATCAGATAGTCATCTAGTCTCTTAACCTCTGTAATCCACATGGCTTAGACTTCTGGATCAAAGCCAGGCTCTTCAGATCCTGTGATGTGCCATGCAGTGTTGTGACACTGTATAAGTAAATAATATACAACTTCCGAGCTCAGTTTTACTCCGAATCATCTCATTGTGAAATTCAGTCTAAATAATCGCCTGCAGTGTGCATCCTACTTTGCAGACTTGGCTATGAGTCAGGTTTATTATGACCCTGTATTGTTTGAATGAGCAAGTCATTGCTTTTCTGGAGCTAGGTCTAAGAATCTGAGTTTAAGGTGTTTCATTTTGTTGACAAATGCACTATGTGAAGTCCAACTATTATTAGTAGAGTGGGACAAGTACACAGTTGGGGGAAGTTTAGTAAGCTCCATTTTATGCAGCTTAGTGGTTGCACTTGCTGCACATGCAGTGGCTTGGGGAGGCCTTTTTCTTCATTCAGACAGAATAATTCCCAGCACTTTTCAGGAGAGATGCAACTCTGTAAAGCCCCCAATGCAAGCCTATGCCTTAAAGGCATAATTGAACCTTTTCTGTACAGAAAGCACTAAATCAGGAGGGCTCAGAGCGAAGGTATTCTTTTAGATCCTACAACATTCTGAACTGTGTTGTCCAGTGTAATTCCACTGAAGTCAGTGGAAATAATCTGGATCTAGACTAACAAAGCTGAGAGCAGAATTTAGGTCATAGTGATTTTAAATATAGTCTGTTTCACAACATTTCTATTGATCGTTGACTAGAGAGTTACCTCCTCTGCAGAGAGACAAGGGGTAATCCAACACTTTGAGAGAATACCTAGCACTTCAGCTCTCAAAGCCATCAGTGGGTTTACAAAAAAAAATTATATATATATTTTGAGAGAAAAGTTCTCAACTTCAGAAAATAAAACCATGGAAATTGCCCTTAAAATTAGAAAGGTCCACGCTCCTTTTGATTTTTTGTGAAAACACATTGGCATGCTTAACTTTGCAGCCTTAACAGTAGTCTTTTAACACAGTTTATTTGTATAATAATTTGTTTAATATGAAAATCCTACTTCTGGGCTCTGCAGCCCCTTTGTTATGCTAATTTAGCTAGCCAAGAGAAGCCACAAAGGTCACTTAATTATCTCCCTATAAATACTACATACATAGGGACCTTCACTAGGTCTTATAGGGTAGTTGAACACTTTCTTCTTCACTCGCATTGCCCGAAAAAGGTGTATAACATAGGCAATAGAACTTCCCCAAAATAATTCATAGAGCAGATCTTTAGAAAAATATCCCATCTTGATTTAAAGATTGTCAGTGATCTGTAGATACTTCAAAGATTATAATCAAGTCATCCCTTAGCCTTCTCTTTGTTAAGATAGATTGAGCTGGGCAAGCATAGGGCATGTTTTCTAATCTTTTAATCATTCTTATGGCTCTTCTCTGAACCCTCTCTAATTTATCAACATCTTTCTTAATGCAAATCTAGCCTACATTCTTTGTTCCTAGAGATTTATTAAAACATACTCACATCCACATGCATATACTATAAAAACATAAGAACAGCCATACTGGGTCAAAGCAAAGGTCCATCCAGCCAGTATCCTGTCTGCCAACAGTGGACAATACCAGATGCCATAGAGGGAGTGAACATAACAGGTAATTCTCATGTGATCCCTCCCCTATCATCCATTTCGTACTAGCTGCGTCCCCCCCCCTCCCCCAGCAGACCAGGGAGACGCGGGCGGCGGACCGAGACACACCGCGGTCCCGCTGCCTGCGTGCTCCGCGGCTTTGCTCGGCGTCTCCCTGGTCTGCTGGTCTCATAACTCGGGGACTGCCTGTACTGGCAAAGACAAGGAAGTGTGTTGAAGGGAGGTGAAGTCTGGCCAGATCACTCTGATCTCTGGTTATTCTAGGCTATTCAACTCATTTGTGGACACTCACAGTCACCATAAGTTAGCATAACCTGTAGGTTTAAAGCTGTCTCTGACTCACCACTTTTACCCCCTTTTCCCGGCTATACTTTCAGAAAGGTGCATCTCAGAATCAGATCATTTTATATGTCTCAAGAGTTCAGTAGTGTTTGTATTGTGAGATGTGGTGTTTTTTAGCTACCAAAATAATTCAATTAAATCTCTTACACTAAACTATGGCATGGGGTAGAATTCTGCCTTAATATGCAGGGTGATGGTTGAGTATAATTTACACCTTATGAAAATACAAAGTATATAACGTGGAGAATAATAAAGTTTTTGTTCTTGGTCTTTCCTCTTTTCAATCAAGTTCTAGTTTTGATGTTCGTGGTATGGATGAAACGCCGTGATAAGGAACGTCAGGCCAAACAGCTGTTAATCGATCCAGAAGATGACGTAAGGGACAATATTCTGAAATATGATGAAGAAGGTGGTGGAGAAGAAGACCAGGTGAGAAATATGTTTAGTGCTTCTAAAGTGTAGGCTTAGACATGGAAGAGGCAATAAATCTTATTTTCTATTACCAAATTATATAACACAGCCAGTTCTCACAATGAATTATACACATGCTGGGTAATAGATGGAATCCTGAAAGCAGGCGCTGTTTTCCAATGAGGTCTCAGCAGTTTTACAGGTGTCCAACTCCTGCCTTTTATATGAAATGTAAAATGCTGTCTTCTCCACTTTTGGACATTACTCATCCTTTCACATTCTGGCCAAATTTCAGTTTGGGTAATTGCATTTAAAAGAAAATAAAAATACCCTGTTGTTTCAAATTTTAAATGTTGTTCTTCACTTCCTCTCTAAAATACTGCTATGTAGCATCACTGATGCAGAATGGCTAATACATTCCACTCTGAGCATCACTGTATTTCAGTGGTAAGTGAATGCTTCCTATATTTTAAAATAATTAAAACTGTGGATTTTTGTGGATAAAAAGCCCTTTATAAATACTAGCTATTCTGATTATAGAACAGCACATTAGCATCTCTTTAGATTTCAATTGAGTATCAAGGAAGAGGGCACTGGATTTTCTGTCTCTAAAGGAGAATGCTGCCATATGATTTGTTTACAAGTTGGTATCCACCCTCCTCTGCGCCTGTGAAAGCACCATCATTGCAACACCAGAGTGATGAGATGGGAAGACATCCCATAGTGTCATCCCTTGCTTCCTGACTTGGAGGATTCTTAAGAAAAATTATCTCCTCTCCTCCCCAACTGCTGGGGAGCTGGTATGAGCCAGAAGAGAGCTTAAAAAGGGAATAATGTTCACAGGAGTGGTAGTTTTTCCCAGTGCATTCTTAGACCCTTGATTTGTAACCTAATCTAACCACAAGGATTAGGCTTTCACAAGATTTCTGGTTGATGTTTTCACCTACCCTCCTTGCAAAATAAATAAGATTTCCCCACCTTTTGAGGGGAAAAAGCATGGAGAAACTCTGTGAGGGAATCTTCATCAGATTACTCATGGGCTTTGATAACTATAGTGGGCTCTTTCATATGAGATGATTGGTTCTTTTGTGCTTTCGTTTATCCCTCTGGAAATGTAAAAATAGTTGGAAGGGGGGTTATGAGATTTAATGACAGGAAAGTGCATGCCATCATTGGGTGAACGAAGTAGAGATGTGCATATTATTAGTAATATCAAATGAACAAAGTATTGTCTATGGAAAACACATCACAGGAGGTAGCAAAAACAAGGAGTGGTCCTGTGGTGCCACAAGACCACTCATATGGAAAATATAGTTGATTTTCCAGTGAAAAGCCTTTGAAAATGAAAGATTACCCTTTCTCCCACCCCTCCCAGACAGCAGACATTTTTGTGATATTCTCTAACAGTGTCTTCGCTCAATGGCTCATATTAGCAAGATCTCTTTTTTTCTACGGATGCTTTCTGTATGCTAGGAGCCCCCCTTAGTGAGTTCTGTGCATCATTGGCCTCCTCAAACACTTTTCCTGATCCTTATGTTTCCTGGGATGATGCTCTTTATCATTTTTGAGCAATTTCAGGTTCTGCAATTGCTTTCCTGTCATACCAAGGGCTTGTTTACACAGTAAAGCTAGTATGAAGTAAAATAGGGTGAGAATTTAAAGCACACTAACCCCTAACTCTCCTTGTGGATGCTCTTACTCCACTTAATATATTAGGCTAAACTCCCTTAGTGCACAGTCAGAGTGAATGTTCACATGGGGATTAAGTGCCAACTAACTAGAGCATGCTAGCTGCTGCAAGTATTTTCCTCATCTGTACAGCTCTCCAGGCTTACTTGGCACCTGCTAGTGGATGCTTTTTGGTTTTTTTAGGTGTCCCTAGCAGCCTGATTGGCCTGTGAGACATGGCTATATTTAATCCTTAAATTTCCTGTTTCCCAGGAGCTGCATCTCTCATTTGTTTCTATTGAAATCCCCCAATGTTGGCTGCATATGCACTCTTGAATGTTTGCTGTGGCTTTTGTTCACTAGGACTTTGGTTGTAACCCTTTTATCTTTGCTTCCTGAGCAAAGTATAATTTACTTGATCTGCTGGGAGGAAGAAAGAGGGAACTTGGGTTACAATCATTGTCTTGCCCCCAACCTGTCCTCATGCATAGTTGGCTCCATTTAAAAGTGATAATACCTTTTAGATCATTTCTAATGTTATATATTTGAAGAATAAAATAAACTATATGCTCATCACTTTTTTTATACAGATAGTACCAGATTGTAGTCTAGAACTATGTCTTGTTTTATATCTAGATGTCATTATTACATAGATGAATTGCAAGCTTGAAAACCGCAAAAAATAAAATCAATCCTGATGTGCACTGATTTTTCTAGTTCATTAACTTCCAGCTCTTCTGCACCCACAATCCTTTGTAGCTCCTTATTTAACACTTTTCGTGTTTTAATTATTGTTAGTCAGCATAAGATGTATGCTTAATCTATACAGGATACATGCCCTGCTGTCTGGGGGGGAAGGAGTAGGTGGAAATAGAATAGTGGCAATAAGCTGTAAGCTGAGCACTTGTGAGGTTGCTCAAGAGAGATTCAGTTGCTGTCCAGCTGATTAGCAAAGTGCCCACAACTAGGGTTTTTTTTCCTACTTGAGGTGCATATTTGCACATGCCTCGATGCACTTAAATTTTTTCTACGCAATGGATGGAAAAAATCTTCACATGGATGGAAAAGGTTAGCGGGAACATTGACTAGTGGTATTGAGTTTTGGTAGGTATGAGAATTTGTTGCTCGGTGGGAATCGTAGGCACTGATGGTGATTGTGGCCCCTGGCCAGGGTTATTACATGGGGGACAGTTGAGTGTTGCCTTTGGATGTTGCATGTCCTATTACTGCTCTCATTCACAGGTCATGTGAACAAATACCTTATGCTCTTTGATGCTTGAAATTTTAAGAATAGTATGATATTTAAAATGGTGATGGGATGTGACTGGCAGAATTTGAATACACCCAAACACTGTTCTTTCTCTAGTTTAATAGTAATCTCTTTCAGATGAGCACTGAAGGCAGAATCATGTTATTTTCCGTTTTACATCTTGTATATAATGGTGATGTTCTAGCAATATTTGGTCATTCTGATTTTTGAAAGAGAGACAGCCATAGACTATTCTGCTTGTATTGCATGTCCTCCCCGTGTTCCAGGCTTCCAACTCTTCCAGGACTGACTTCCCTTGTGGTAGGCAGAGAGGATAGAGATGAGTGTGAAAGTTACTGTGGCCAGGACATCAACAGATATACAATATGTTCTTCTCATGTCAGACTATATCACCATTATATCCTAGGCAAATACATTTAGATAGACTGCCCTGCATAAAGTGGTGGTCTTCTATTAAAGATGGATAGTAAGAGTCCCCAAACTATAGAAGACAGCTGCTGATTCTCAGGGTGAGGAGGGAGGGTTGTATATTTTCCAGTGTTTAGTAATATGGCCAGTTGAGTTCAAGACAACAAGAGAGCTTGTCAGCTGGTGTAAATTTCATAACTTTGACTTCAAAAGCTGAGGTTTTAGCACAATATTTTTAGAGGAAAAGAATAAAGCAGATGCAATCTGAATAGTATCTCATACTTCGCTCCTGAAATTACATATCTAGTTTAGTCCTTAGACAAGTTCTGTTGTCACTAATGACAGTACTGATTATTAACCGATTACATGACTTTAATGTTGCCGTCATTAGTGAATAAGATAGGTGCAATGGACAAATGAGTGACATTATAATTCTCTCCCTTGACATGATGTGTACTCAATTTGTAACCAGTTCAGTCACTCTAAATATCAAAACCTTATGTTGACTCGTTGTTAATGCACTTAGTCACACGCATGCAACATAGTTCATATGTATACCGTTAACAGTCAGTGAAGGTCAGTCATTCATTTTAAAGTATAAATCAAGACACTGATGTGATTTACGTGGAGCCACGAGGATGTTTGATTTGGATGTCAGAGTAAAAATTGACCAAATAACTTTGAACCATTCCCTTGTTTTCTCAGTGAATTATGCTTTTCTTTAATAAGTTACGTAAGTTAATTCTCAAATCCCCTATTAACTCAGGAACCAATTCACTCCCATTGAATAGCATTTATGCAGTTGGTTCCACTGAAGTCAGTAGTATTGCACAGCGAGTAGGTGCTATTCATCACGTGTGTTGCAAGATTTGAACCTATTGTTTTAAACTTATATTTTTATCTTGCCTATAAACTTCTCCATTCCAAGAGATTTTAAGCCATGTTAAGATTTTGTGAGTTTTTCTCATAAAATCTGAGTTCTCTGCATGAGACGCTCTTAGTTAAAAATCAGCAAGCCTACAGTGCTGATGTTTTGTGATCATTTTGAAGATAAGAATTATTTTGTGTATGTTTATATGTAGTAGTAGTAGTAGTAGAATTTATTATAGATGTGATAGAATATTAAAAATAAAATCAAAATGGTGAAATGGGTCTAACTTCTAAATTACTAACAAAGTATTTTGTATGTCATGAAATTACCAAATTTATTTTGTATGCCTGATTATTTGAAGAATAAACTAATTACAGCATTTAAATAGTGAAATATGCTTGATATTTGAGTAGCCCTCTGAGTTTATCCAGTGGGTCTTTGGACTCCTTCTGCTCCTTCCTTTAATATACCAAAAGAAAATATACTTGAGGAAATTTTAAGTAGTCTCTTCATAGAAACCTAGAATTTAAGACCTTGTCAGTTTTGTGCTGTGGACCCTATTTGTGTATTATGCTTATGAGAGTGTAAACGCCAACTATTATGTTCTGTTTTTGTTTTGTTTTTTATTTTCACCATCCTATCAGACAAGTGACATAAAAGGGCTTATCAGGTAATTTTTCCTCATCATTTAACTTTTGTGTTATATTGACGTTCACTTTATATCAACTTCTGAATGATAATGAGTAAACTAACTGTTGTAAGGCAGTAGGCATCGTCATTATTATCATGAAAATGAAATTC